TTTTAAAAAATAAATAGCTTGAGATGGTAAATACCATAAGCATGGCCTTAACTTGAGGCAGGGTTAGTGATGTAGGATGATCAAATTTGGTTAGCTGCAAGAGGTGCCCCAGGAAATCCTTCTGCTTATTAGTTTCTTCATTAGCGTGATGATTTATGGCCGAATCAAATATACTTTCACAGTAACTAGAGATTATCTTCATTCTACGCTCTATTCCCTGTAAATCAAACCTAGCAAGGAAAGGAAACATGTCAGAAATATTTGGTGCCCCCATGTGTTCCATTAGTTCAGTTATGAGAGCTCGAAACTCAGCATTAACCTCGCCCCCTTTCAGTGTATCGCCCCACATCATGCTCATCAGTGAGTTGACAATGGTCAAAAAAATTAATTCACCAACATCAACAACATGACCAGTCTGTCTATAACTTTCAAACATCATTTTCTTCACATGCCGCTTCCTAAAATAAGAACTAGCATTGAGCTGCGTATTATTCATCATCTCACTGACAAAATAGCTTCCTCATCTTTCGCCATTCATGCCCATAATTGGAGAAGGCAATATCATCAGTTCCGAGCATAAAACTCTCGACAGCAACAGTGGGATCTCCCCGATTAGCAAAAATGACATCATGATCCCTTACCACCTCTTTTACAAGAGAAGGTGAGGTGATCACAATGCAGTCTTTCATTCCAAGCTGGACTTTGAAGATAGGACCATATATACTGGCTAAGTTTATAAAGCTCTGGTGGAGATTCGAGTCCAGGAAAGGCAGATATCCGACTAAAGGCAAGCCACGCGGTCCAGGAGGCAGAGGAAATCTCTTCTTATTTTGCCATTTGATGAAGAAAATGAACCAAGTAATAAAGAACAAAGGGATTATGATGGTTAACATATTTTGAAATGCTTCATCAGTTTCATTGCTAGTATTCCACCTAAATGACCACAGACTAGATTCTGCCTGCGACATGTTAGTATGTGAAAATGAAGCAAGAGAAATTCATAGACAAACTTCATAAACTAAAGGTATATATGAGAGTGTGCTTTGTACTCAGGACCTCAAAATTCAATCCCTGAAGAATGCTATGTAATCAGGACCTCAAATTTCCTGAAATGATACACGACAAAGAAGAGACTGCAGCAGCCAGCAGAAAGTGTCAACAAAATCAGTACTTCGTATTAGTCAATGAAAGCTCTAATAAGGGTCCACCAGCATTTCACATGTGGTGGTTAATGCTTGAAGATAATGATATTATGCCATCTATTCTAGGAAGATCCTAATCATTGAATATAATGATATTATACCATCTATTCTAGGATTGCAACATATAAGTTCTGGATTTACAGCCGCAGCATAAAGTTCACACAGACTCTAGCCTAAAAGGAAAGATCATTACCAAATTTGCTGCAAACATTTTTATTAAGTGTACGTTTCTTTTTCTGTGAAAAGAAAGCCGACATTTTTGTATAAAAAGAACAAAATTTTCATAGCAACTAGTAGTTTGTGGTGGGAAGAAAACCACCCTTGAAACAGCCACAAAAAACAAACTTCATCTAGGAAGATCCTAATCATGGAGGAGGGTAATGACAAAAAAGATAAAGTAACAGAGTAAACAAGCTGCAACAAATAGATTTTTTTTAGGGGGGGAGGAATATATGGGTTGCAAGAATGCCTTTTCTTATAAGGCAAACAGAAAGCATAATTAAGCCTCATCTTGCAAGACACTAATCATACATCTTTGCTAAGTCAGTTCATTTAGTACCACAAGATCAAATCTCTTTCTAGCTTAAATTGCCCTTATTACAGCTTGAAAGACTCATAGGCCCCATACAATAAAAAGAATCTGAGACAAAACTGTCAAACAAAAAAAAAATCAATCACCAGACCGACCAGATAAGTAATGGTGTTCAGACGCGTTCTCTAATAGATTGCCAAACAGAATTAATATGGTTAACAAAGGCAGATAATCACACAATAAAAGATTTGCAGTGAGGTGAGTTATCAAACCTGTAAAGCAGTACCCTTTTTCCCTTTAGTCTGAGTCATCGCTATCGATTGACTGAGTTATTAACAGAGGGAAGGCTGAAACTAGAGATTGTCAGCCGAAGTGGATGGTGTTTTTGTTTCATATATATCTTCTGAGAATTGAAATATGTGATAATCCTGATACAAGAAAGATAAGTAACTATACATTATAATCATCAAATTACATGATGGAATTAATATTACTGCATAATATCTAGCTTTATAGGCTCTAGATAAGTAGCTATATAGTCTATATTATAATCATCAAATTACATGATGGAATCAACATTATTGTGTTAAAACTAGGTATATAGGCTCTGGAAAATGCTAATCATTGTATGAATATAGCTCCAAGCTGGAAAGCCTGATAACTGGCACAGCAATCAAAGGTTCTGATTTTTTCACAACAAGTCCAAATTTCTCAGAGAAATCAACCTCCGTTGTATCAGTTGGTAACTTCCATTCAAAAGCATTCATCAGTGAAGCTAACACAAGCACTGACATCCTCTCTGCAAGTGGAATACCAGGACATATTCTCCTGCCAGACCCGAATGGAAGAAACTGAAAGTGACTGCCCAAGTAGTCTACACTTGCAGAAGATGTGCTTAAAAAACGTTCTGGTTGGAACAGTAATGGATCTTCCCAAAGCTTTGGGTCTCTCTGAATAGCATATACATTTAGGAATATGCGAGCACCCTTTGGTACCATATATCCCCCTACGCTAGTATCTTTGCTCGGACAATGGGGAATGAGCAGAGGAGAAGATGGGTGCATACGAAGTGTTTCCTTCACAACTGCATTTAGATACTTCAACTTTGGTAAATGCACCTCTTCAACTGTATTATTCAATCCCACAACCTCGGTTAATTCTTCTTGGAATTTCCTCACTACTCGTGGATGCTGCAGCATCTCTGCCATAGCCCATTCAACCATAGCAGCTGTTGTATCTGTGCCCCCAATCACAATGTCCTTAAAAATGTAACAATGAAATTTAAATAAGTATATTGTTAACAAGGACGAGAAAATTGAAAGATTATATATAGTTGGTAATGACATATACCATGAGTATGGCCTTAACTTGTGGCAAGGTTAGTGATGTCGCAGGATCATCAAGTTTGGTAAGCTGCAAGAGGTGCCCCAGAAAATCCTTCTGCAATTTTGGATTTCCTGTACTGTGACGATTTATGGCTGAATCAAGTATATCTTCAAGGCGGTGAGAGATCATTTTCATTCTACGCTCTACCCCCTGTATATCAAACCATGCCAGCAAAGGAAAAAAATCTGAGATATTTAGTGCCCCTAAGAGTTCCACATCTTCATCTATGACAGCTCGAAATTCAGCATTAATCACAGAACCATCCTCTCCATTCAGTGTATCCCCCCAGATCATGCTCATAACTGAGCTGAGAAGGGTAAAAAAAGCTATTTCACCTATATCAACCAGCTGACCAGCATTACTATATCATAGATCATTTTTTTCACCTGCTGCTTCCTGAGATGATAACTAGCATCAAGACTAGCACGACTCATCATTTGACTGACGAAAATCTTCCTCATCTTTCTCCATTCAAATCCATAATCTGAGAACCCAATATCCATTGTCCCAAACAAAACACTCCTTGCAGCAACAGTGGGATCTCCTCTATTAGCAAAAATGACATCCTGATCCCTGACCACCTCTTTTACTATAGATGGGGAGGTCACCACGATGCATTCTTTAGTTCCAAGCTTGACTTTGAAGATTGGACCATACAAACTGGCCAAATGATTAAAGCTGTGGTGGAGATTGGAGCCCAGAAAAGGGAGATATCCAACAAAAGGTAAGCCATAAGGTCCAGGAGGTAGAGGAGGCTTCTTGTTTCGCTTCTTGGCATTGAAAACAAACCAAAATATAATCAACGAGGGGACTAGGATGGTCAAGATATTTCGGGAAGTTTCATCAGCTTTATTGCTGGTGCTCCACCACCATGACCACATACTGGTTGCTTCCTGTGACATGTTAGGTATGTGGAAATGAAGGTATTGAATTGCATAGGCAGGCATCGGTTAAGCTTAAGGAATATATGGCCGTACTGGACTATGTGACTGAATTGTGTTCAGGAACTTCAGAAAAAATAATGAAGCAATTCCGAAATGAAGCAAATGACAGAATGCTCATTCTCTAGCAATGCAGAAAGGCTTAACAAAATATGTACCTTTCACTGCAAGATCTACAAAGGGTCCACCTACATCTCATATGTGGTGCTCAGAACCTCAAAATATCCTGATGATTGGCTAACTTGCAGCAGGAAGTCTCAACAAGACAAATAATTGTCATTGACAGCTTTAGAAAAGGACAGCATTTCATATGTGGTGGTTAATGCTTGAAGATATGAAGAAAGGGACAACATTTCATATGATTTTGAGAAATGATATAATGCATATATTCTAGGCTTGCAACAAATAAGAAGTTCTGGATTGAAGGCCGCACGAGGCTCGTACAGGCACTAGCCTAAGGAAAAGTCATAACCAAACATTATTGGGTAGATTAAATGATCCATCTCAAACAAAAAACAAAATAAAACATGAAAGTACGAATTATGAACTTATACCTCCTTCTTCAACCCATGATTAGCATGTACTGAAAAAGGAATTCGCAGCTTAAAGTTAACAATCTGCTCATTTCTACAGTTCTAGAACGGAAAGAGTTGCAATGTTGCACATGAAAGAATGGAACATGATCAGAAACGATGATATACTGTAAGTGCTCTTGCTGAGATTATAGAGAAAGCATATTTGATAGTCACAGGAAAAATAATTCACTGAAGCTAGCACAAAGTACCACAGTTTATACTCCATCCAGTCTAAATTCAACTCGTTTGAGCCAAGTGATCAAACCTGACAAGAAGTGTCTTTGATCCTATGAGTAATAGTCATCATGTTTAATTGGTTGTGTTGAAACTAAAGATTTTTTCTGGCAGCATATGTATCTGACAATTGAAAAATGTGAAAATTCTGATTCATAAGACAAGCAACTACATTATAGACATCAAATTACATGATGTAATTACACATTATCATCTTCTCTTGGTTATCTATTATACGTCAATGCCAACTAATTAACTGGAGTAACAGGGGAAAAAATTAATAAGGAAACCTGTTGCAAAGATGTGTATTAACAACTGTACATTTCTTTTATTGTGACAGTATTCGAATATTATTTATCATTCTTCGAATAGAGACCTAAGTTGGAGATTCTAGGACTCGGCACAGCAATCAAAGGTTTTGATTTTTTCACAACAATTCCAAATTTCTCTGATAAATCAACCTCCACTGCGCCATTTGGTAACTTCCACTGGAAAGCATGCAGCATTGAAGCCAAAACAAGCATTGATGTCCTCTCTGCAAGTGGAATTCCGGGACACATTCTCCTTCCCGACCCAAATGGAAGATACTGAAAATGGTTGCCCAAGTAGTCCATTTTCTCAGCAGCAGACCCACTTAAAAACCGCTCAGCCTTAAACAGTAATGGATCTTCCCAAATAAGGGGATCCCTCTGAATAGTGTATAAGTTGAGGAAGACACGAGCACCCTTTGGTATGTGATACCCTCCTATAGTAGAAGGCTCACTTGGACAATGAGGAACGAGGAGAGGGAGAGGTGGGTGCAAACGAAGTGTCTCCTTTGCAACTGCATTCAGATACTTTAACTCAGGCAAATGAACCTCTTCAACTGTTTTATTTAATCCCACAATTTCAGTTAGTTCTTCTTGGACATTCCTCATTACTTCTGGGTGTCGCAATATCTCCGCCATAGCCCACTCAACCATAGCAACTGTTGTATCTGTTCCCCCAACCACAACATCCTAAAAGATACCAATTTGCAGATAAATATACAGAAAAGTAATAAACTTATATTATTTGCACACACAAGCTACAACATCCTAATTTATACCAAGTGTAGTTTGTGAATAGTGCAAAAATGTATCAACTAAAAAGACCAGAGGAAGTATATAATTGAAAAATCAGCAAAAAAAAAAAAAAAATAATATTAATAAATAAAAAGGGAATATTACACTTACAAGGAGCATGGCCTTAACTTGAGGCAAGGTTAGTGATGTTGCATGATCCTCAAATTTGGTAAGCTGCATGAGATGCCCTAGGAAATCCTTCCGCTGAATACTTGCTCCAGCATAGTGATGTATGGCTTTATCATAAATCTCTTCATTCCGTTTTGAGATTATCCTCATTTTGCGCTCTATTCCCTGCAAATCAAACCTAGCAAGCAAAGGGAAAAAATCTGAAATATTTGGTGCCCCTAGAAGTTCTAGCTGTTCATTTACGACAGCTCGAAATTCAGAGTCAATGACAGACCCCTCATTCCCTTTCAATGTATCCCCCCATACCATACTCATAACAGAACCAACAAGAGTTAAGAATGCTAGGTCACCTATATCAACCAACTGACCAGCTTTTTCATAGGTTTCATTTATCATTTTCTTCACATGCTGTTTCCTTAGATAATAACTGGCATCAAGACGAGCATTACTAAGCATCTCAGTGGCAAATATTCTTCTCATCTTTCTCCATTCAACACCATAATCGGAAAAGGCAATATCCATCGACCCAAACAAAAGACTTTTAGCAGCAATAAGGGGTGCTCGGTTAGCAAACACGACATCATGGTCCCTAACCACCTCCTTGACTAGAGACGGTGAGGAGACCACAATGCATTCATTACTTCCAAGCCGGAATCTGAATATTGGACCATATAAACTGGCTAACTTGTGAAAGCAATGATGGAGATTGGAATCCAGAAAAGGGAGGTATCCAACTAAAGGCAGGCCACGCGGTCCAGGAGGCAAAGGAGGATTCTCCTTGTTTTGCTTCCTGGCAGCGAAAATGAACCAGAAAATAATGAACAAGGGAGCAAGGATGGTCAAGATGTTTCGCAAAGTTTCGCCTTCCTTATTGCTAGAACTCCACCACCATGACCACACACTGGTTGCTTCAGGCAACAACATGCTAGTTTTTGTGAGAAGATGAAGAGAAAAGATTGAAGTGGTTAGGCCTAACTGATATTTAATGATGACAGTACATGTATAGTTTACAATAAATAGGCGGCAAAATAAGACTATCTCAGTTAATAATTTGCAACATTTGAGTATTATTTGTGAGGTATAAAATATTCAAAAGTTGCAAATAAAAGGTAGTATCACAGATACATGGTACTGATGCAATAGGTAGAAATTAGTCAAATAACAAATAAGGTGCAGATGATATATCCAGTATCAAGACAAATGTCAAAATATCATCCACTGTAAGCTCAACAAGGGTCCACCTGCATTTCATATGTGGTGGTGAATGATTGAATTATGTTCAGGTATGAAAAAATAACATTAAGCTGATAATTACTTTCTTTCTTGCTCAATTACCATGATTTGCAGATAAAATTAAACACTAATTCTAGCATCAAAATTAAAAGTACATGTATAGTGCTGATTTGCTACAAAGTAAATGATAATATCACTTGCTTTCAAGAAACAGATTTAGAGATAATTCATGGATGAAATTTGATTATGTACTTAATATTTGGTACTTGAATATAAAGGCAGTCAAATTTCTAAAATGGCAAGGTTTTTTTTTTTTTTTTTTTTTTTTTTTTTTTTTGGTTGACAAAAGCTATAGAATCTGATGTGAGTATTAGTCATTCATCAATGTAACAAAAACGCTTATAAATGCTTATTATAACTGCCTTACAAAAATTGTCATAATGGAAAAGGCAAACATCTTGGATAATCATAGGGAGGAAATAATTTATATAAGCTAATGAAACACAATGCTGTAGGTAATATATAGGAATGCAATGTTAAAAGCTTATAAACACGAAATTATATGCATTAAGAATATTTTTTTACTGTGCATCAACAATTACATGATTAAAATATAACCTGAAATGCAAAGCAACATACAGAAGAGCAGAATAATGCATAGAGCTTACTTATTCATACAGAGATGGACTAGATAATCTACACTCAGGGATTGCTATGAGAGGCTTTCTCAGGGACATGACGATCCCAAATTTCTCCTGAATATTCAGTTGTTCTCCCTCGGGCAGTTTCCAGTTAAAAGAATGTAGCAGTGAGGCCAGTGAAAACAGCACCATCTTCTCAGCCATTCCTATCCCAGCGCAAATCCTTCTGCCTGAGCTAAAAGGTAAGAAATTGAAGTCATCACTTCCACGGAAGTCAACTTTAGCACTTAAGAACCTTTCTGGGTCAAATTTTGATGGGTCAGTCCATATTGTAGGGTCTCGATGGATAGCCCATATATTGATGAAAACTCGGGAACCCTTGGGGATCGTATAGCCTCCAACAATGCAGGACTCACTCGGGGAATGAGGAACTAGCAAGGGAAGTACAGGATGCAAACGGAGTACTTCTTTCATGACAGCTTGCAGGTAAGGTAGTTTATAGATGTGATGCTCCTCCACCATGCTGTCTGTTCCAACCACTGTGTCCAGCTCTTGCTGGATCTTTTTCAGCACCTCTGGTTTGTTCATTATTTCTGCCATTGCAAGTTCAACTGTGTTTGAAGTTGTGTCAGTTCCTCCCACCACCATATCCTGCTCATAAAAATACATAATAATTAATATATATATATAAACAGAATGAAATGTATTGTTTTATAATGGTGGAACAATAAAGAACAGACACTGGAGATGAGCAAGACTCTAAACAGGGGAGGACCTATATTTCCATCACAATTACTTGTCTTCAAATTTCAATTACGGAAACATTGTTGTGTTTTAAAATATAGTAGCCTACAACTTTCAGAGTCAACCATAATCAGGTTTAACTTCACTAATACCCAAATCTACAGCGATTACATAATAAGCTTAAGATAACTGAGGCCTACACAAGCTTCAGATTAAGTTCAGTCTAATTCATGTACCCAAACCAAAGTTCAATCAGTATGGTCCTACTAAGAGTGTCAATCACAAGGCAAAATCATATCTTGATGCAGTAAATATGCAAAATTATCAGTTATAATTTTCAACTGTAATTAAGAGTATTACAGTAAAGAAGCATACCATGAGCAAAGATTTAAGATGGGTCATGGAAAATGACACCTTATCATTGCCTTCACCCTCATAATCATCCTTTAATTGCAACAAAACCTCCAGAAAATCCTTCTCTTTCTTCCTCCCGCCATCTCCCTCCCTATTATTTCTCAGCCGTTGATCAATCACATTCTCAAAAATTTCATCCAACCACTTAGCACACTTCCTCATACTTTTCTCTATACCCTGCAAATCGAACAATGCCAAACTCGGAAAAAAGTCTGATATATTCGGTGCACCCAACAACCTTACAAACTCGGTCACCGCCACTCTAAACTCCGACTCAACCTTTTCTCTCTCTTCAATCCCCATGGCACCACCCCACAACATCCCTGTCACCACCCTGATCACCACCAAGAACACCTCCTCTCCTAGATTAACCGCCGTTTTCGTCCCCGCTTTCTCCGACAATCCCCGGATCATCTGCCGGGTTTCCTGCCGACGGATGCCATACAGAGCATCAAGTGTAGAAGCACCAAGCATCTCTCTCACAGTGACTTTACGCAGCAGCCGCCACGTGGGGCCGTAGGGAGACCAAACTATGTTGTGGCCGCCATACGTGGCCAATTTTCCAGCAATGGGTACATCACGGTTGGAAAAGATGACGTCATGATCTTTAAGCACCTCCTTAGCCAGAGCAGGAGAGGAGATGACAATACCGAGCTTCGTCCCAAGCCGGAGAGAGAAAATTGGGCCGTGGGTTTGGGCCAATGAAGCAAAGTAAGTGTGGAGTTCTGGGTCTAGTGAGAGGAGGTTCCCTAGTATGGGAAGGCCCAATGGGCCTGGGGGGAGTGGTGGTTGGTGGTGGTTCTGTTTTCTGGTGAAGAAGATTATAGCCAAAAACACAGTGAGGAGGGTCAGTAGTAGAATTATCCAGGTTTCTGAAATCATGGTGGCTTTTTTCTTTCTTTTTTTGAGGCAACCTCTAAAATGGTTGGATCAATAATAGTACAATAAAATAAAATAAGCAGCTAATCAGTCTGAATAAATAAATATATTACTCTGTCCACTTTTATTTATGTAGACTTTTGTTTCGGGAAAAATTAAGTGGATGTAAGAAACATATAGGTGAAAGTGGAACTGAGTAAAAATGTGTAAATATTGTGGGACAAAAGAAGCGTGTTTGAAAAATAGATTAAATCAATGACGGGTAAATAAATAGTTAAAAAATTATTAATGGATACATAAAAACATAAAATAAATGTATAAATAAACAGAAACAGAGAGTATCTAATTAAATATTCTGGTGCACATCGCATTAAGTGCAGTAGCTGACAGCCAAATCTGTACATGACGTCTTGGGAGTTGAGTGGATAAATTTAAAGCCTTTGCCAAAATGTCAAGCAAATTGGACCTCAAACTAAATTGCAGAAAATATAAAACAAACAAAATTCTCTGATAAAAAATGTTTGGTGCCTGCTGATTCTGAAATAACCTCTAAAATCTGCTGTCAAATTATTCAGTAGTAGGCTTAGGTCAATCAATGGTCACATAGAAACTACCTCTTTGTTACTGTAGTGGTATTTATAATTTACCTATAAGACTTCAACTAGTTGGCTCGTAAACTTGTAATTAATACATAAACTTGGTCACCCTCGTTGGCTCTATCCAATAAACTTAAGTTGGATTATGGTCAAATGTACAACAAGTGATTCAAGTCAAAGCGTATGCTTCAGCAATTTTATGCATTGCTATTTATTAAGGGTTTTGCAATAATGATTCTCAGTGGGTTTATGGTTTATCAAGAAAAAAAGAAGACAAAAAGTTTAAAATTACCTCCCAAGGACTCAACTAGCCACAGCTAGGTAAGCGGCAAATATATACTTGCTGAAACCCCCAACAGAAAGTTCCATATACGTATGTGGTAGTTGCTGCTTCACATCTTACGCATCCGAAATCATAAACCATGCATGGTTTTGAATGAGTGAAGAAAAGTCATTGGCATAACTTTCATCATCTGGTTCACACAACCAATCATATTGATGTTAACTCTAAAAACACATACAAAAGTAATGTTCATCAACATGCTTTAAACCTATAGCAAATATGTCACAAAATGCCCCTGGACTTTGATAAAACTTCACATCTGAAATTGCACATAAATTTAACCTTGAAAAAAAACGTAACAAAAAGGTTGGAAAAAAAGAATTGGACAATAAGATGCTTGCATCAACAATGTTCAGAAATCCATAAACCTAGGTAATACCAGCTCTTCAAAATGTAAGCCTTGCATGTTGCATCCAGGAAAAAAAGACAGTCTTGCTTCTTAGAAAGCATATCAGCAATGGGTGAACACAATCACAGTTCCAATTCAAAGCTTATTAGGCACGCAATCAAAGATTTGTAGACTTACTACTTATACCAAGAGAATGATTTTCATTAAAGCATTATATTTTGCAACCTTTCATGCACCATTTACTTGATCATCTGAGTAAAATTCATATCTACAGCAAAGTTGCTTCTAAATCCTTGCTACTTAGCTGATCTGAATCAAATTTACAGTCAGCCAGACCAATTAAAATATAAACAATTTCCACATGCCACGTTATCCATTGAGACATCAACAATAGAACAAGATAAAGAAGATATAAGCTTGTTCTACATATCTTCTGCAATCTCTTTGGTAGTGATCCCATTCCTGAGAGTTTTTTTTGCTTCATTTTGTTGGTGAAAAAGGAAAACCTTCAAATCAACAAACTTGGGCAGCATGCTAAAACTCACATATGCACAAAAGACTAACATATATTCCCATCATAAAAACTTTCTATTCATGCTTAATCACTGATTATTAATAATTCAGTACATTTGCAAAGTTAATACAAATATCAAAATTAACTCCATGAAATCAATGTAAGGAATTGATGAATATCAGTCTGTCATAAGGTCCACAACATCAATTGCTAGTTTAAAACACTGGAAACTTTAAATTCATGCCATCACAGCTACATTCCTTCAAGATGCATTACCCAAGTTTACCAACTAAAAAAACTGATCGAATTCTTCCTGAAAATTGAAATGAAGAACTCAGAGAAACAGAAAGAATGGACAACTAATCAACAGTCACACTCATAAAAGCACACAGATTAAAATAGTAAATACAGAAGTTCCTAGATGAACTCTCCTAAAATTATCCTTCTCTTATCCTACAGTCACAGTCACTACACCAGTAATCTTCTGTCTCACCAATATCCTGCCACTGTAAACTAGAGAAACAGAACTAATCAACAGTCACACTCATAGAAGCACACTGATTAAAATAGTAAATGCAGAAGTTCCTAAATGAACTCTCCTAATATTATCCTTCTCTTATCCTACAGTCACAAGTCACTACTCCAGTAATCTTCTGTTTCACGACTCTCACCAATATCCTGCCACTGTAAACTATTTCATGGCAGCAAGAGTCCATAATTCATAAGTTATGAAAGCTGTAATGTTCTGCATTCCTGTACAATTTCAACCCAACATAGTTTACTGATAATCTGATATATTCTTAACTTACAAGGAGACCAAAATAGATAAGTTTACTTTGCTATCAAAAGACTCCCTGCATAAACAAAACTAGTATCACACTATAAATAAAAATAGATTTTGGCGGATTAACCAGGTTGCAAGAAACTTATTGAACTATGATATAATGATATGCATAAATAACAAACGTTTAGTGCTTGGTCAATCTGAACAGCAGAAGCTGAACTAACCTCTCATCAGTTGCCAAATTTTCCAAAATAGCTTGATACAAAGATCGTTAAAGAAGACGTAGAAACATCAATCAATCAAAGCCTTAATCCCATAACTAGGGTCGCCTACATGAACCAAACTTGATTATTCCATGTAATCATCGACAAAGATCCTCCTCCTCCATCCCTTACAATCCAATGCCTCATCCTCATGCAAATCCAAAAACTTCATATACTAACTCCTTCCAACCAAGTCATTTTCGGTCTCCCTCTCCTTCGTTTAACCCCTCCATGGTCCCACCCTTCCACTCTTCATACCGGTGCACCCTCGGGTCTTCGTCTTACATGCCCAAACCAATGCAGACGGTATTCCCTTAATTTGTCTGCAATGCCTGCCACTCCTACCTTCTTGCGGATAACCTCATTTATGATTCTATCTCTTAGAGTGTTCCCGCACATCCACCTTAACATTCGCATTTCTGTAACCTCCATCTTTTTAATGTGCTCCTTCTTAGAAGCCCAATATTCTGGACCATAGAGCAACACTTGTCTTGTGGCAGTCCTGTAGAATTTTCCCTTCAACTGTAAGGGAATACTTCGGTCACATAACACTCACGTGGCCACTCTCCACTTAAGCCACCCCGACTTAATCCCGTGGGTCACGTCTTAATTAATGTCACCATTTTTCTGGATGATTGACCCAAGATATTTAAAGCATTCACTCATGGTCAAGCCCTTCCATACATACCAAATATTCAGTCTTACTCCGACTTCGGTTAAACCCTCTAGATTCCAATCTTTGCCTCCATTGCTCCAACTTGGCATTAACTTCATCTTTAGTTACATCCATCAAAACGATATCATTCGCAAACAGCATACACCATGGTAATTCATCTTGAATTGGTCTAGTTACTTCATCTAGAACCATTGCAAAAAGGAAAGGGGTTAATGCAGACCCTTAATGCAATCCAAGTGTAATAGGAAAATCTTTTGTCAACCCTTCACATGTCCTCACATTTGTTGACACATCCCGATACATAACCTTAAACTGGTCACAGTACCTTCATGGGATACCTTTTTTCAACATTACCCACCAAAGCACCTCTCGTGACACCTTGTCATATTTGTAAAACTATAAGTTGATAAAAATGATAAAACTACAATATACCGTTAATTGTAATAAACCATTCCTCTTATTTACTCAAAATGTTATGCATTAACAAAACACTTTTTTTGTATATAAAATTATATGATAAAATCTCACAACTGAGAATAATGCACAGAGCTTACTTATTCATATAGAGATGGACTAGATAAGCTTAGGGATCACCATGAGATGCTTTCTCTTACTCAAGACTATCCCGAACTTTGCCAGAAGATTTAACTGTTCCCCCTCCAACAACTTCAAATCAAAGGAATGTAACAGAGAGGCTAGTGAAAATATGACCATCTTAATCTGTATGCCTCAGCTAAAGGGAAAGTAATTGTAGTCATTCCCAAAGTCAAACTTAGCATTCACAAACCTTTTTGGGTCAAAGTTTAATGAGTTAGGCCATATTGAAGGATCTCAATGAATAGCTCATGCATTGATGAAGACTTGGGAACCCTTGGGGATGGTGTAGCCTTCGACAACAGGGTAGTACAGGGTTCAAACAAAGTGCTTCTTTCATGACAACTTGTAGGTAAGGTAGTTATAGATGTGATGCTCCTTCACTATGCTATCTCTGCCAACTACTGTGTCCAACTCATGCTGTCACTCATGTTGTCTCTGGAATCTCTCTTTAGAGCTCCAAGAATTCTGCAGATGAATGCCTTAACCTATTTATAGGCACTGACTACATCCTAATCAGTTAGGATAACTACCCACTACACCCAATGATCTAGTATCTGCCCACTACTTGCATGGTTACTTAGATGCATCTGAACTTGTCATGCATGATCCCATAACCGTCCTACTATGTCATGCTCCTACATTTTAGAAGGCATGCATCAATTATGCTTATATGGCATACCCATTTTCCCTTAGTGCTTCTATTTTCTAGGGGCACTAAGTAAGTGGCGTAACTACCTTATGACGTGCCATTCTTCCCTCCGAATAGTTGCCCACGTTCTAGGCAACGCTCCACTACTTTGGTGCTCCAATTTTATAGGAATTGTTGTAGCAAATGGGTTAACCATGTTCCAAACTGACTTTGGACAAGATTCTAGTCAAGGTAACGTAACGGTTAGTCAACCAACTAACGACATGGACCTATATTTTAGGAGCTATAATTTGTCACGTGCCACCTCAGCATAACCGTCTTGAAATTTTAGGGAGAGTGGTGAAGTGTGGGTGATGACCATAACCGCCCACTATCTCCATAACACAACCCACCCTTGAATCAAGGCAACCATATGCTATCCACAATGATTAAGTTAACCATCAAGGAATCCCTACTATTATGGTCCACTAAAGGTATCTGTGGTAAGACCACAACATTTTGCCAAAGCTCTTCCTTAGTGACTAACCCATGGCCACATAAGTCCATGGTTCCACCATAGGAACCATAGTCATCGTTGGCTAGGTCGAGCTTGCTCCTCCATGGGGAAGCCTTTGTAGTCTCCACCATAGTATAGACTGTATAGACTTCCTGACATGATCCCAAGCACATTCCCATATCAAGCCACGCTTTGTTAGGCTAGCATGCATCGTATTTAGCCATAGGCTAGGTTGGTCCACCCACATACGCCTTGGTTAAGACCACCGAGTCAGTTTGTCCTATTAAGTGTTCAACTAAGCCATCCTCATGTGCTATAGTCCCCATAGACCATCCTATGTCCAAGACTATGCCCAAGCCTCCTAGCCATAGGGCCACCCTTAGGTTAGCCACCAGCTGACAGTAACACAATAATGGGCTCTCGGACCCAACCCTTTCACTTAAACCTTGGCCCTTAGGCCATGTATGATCCATTAGGGTCCTAATAAGTCCCATCAATCAATACGATAGATAGTTATGGAGTTTTGCCCATCAAAATACTCAAAGGTTCTTTTAGCGCGCGCTTGCGTGCTAGCGACAAGCCCAAGGCCTAGTTGGCTAAGCACTCGCTAACACTAAGGTCTAAGCACATGGGGTTATTCCTTATAACTTCACAAGCTTTAAACATGAGTGTGAGTTGCTTTTATCGTCACTTGGCTCGTTTCCCTTAAAGCGAGTGTATGCAAGTGAGATCTCGTAGGTCTTGCGTGCCTATGCGGGTTGGTCGAAGCTCTTGCGTGACTGTGACAAATGGCATCAAGTGCAGTGGCACTGAGCATCTCTCACACAAACCTTCCACAACAGCCGCCATGCAACCATAGGGAGACGACACGATGCTTTGGCCTCTGTACGTGGCCACTCTAACAGCAATGCACACATCATGGTTGGTGAATATGGTGTCATGGTCTTTAAGAACCTCCTTAGCTAGAGCCGACAAGGAGATTACCACACAAAGCTTCATTCTAAGCCGGAGAGAGAATATAGTAGGTTTGGGCCAAGGTGGTTAAGTAGTTTTGGAGTTCTGGATCTACTGAGAGGAGGTGGTTGTCTATGGTTTTATTTGCTGGTGGGGAAGAATATCAACAATAACACAATGAGGAGGATCAATAGTGTAGGAACCCAAATTTCTGAAATCATGGAGATTTCCTCTGCAATGGTTAAATTAGATGCAGCAGCTAATCATTCCAAAAAAAGCAATGATATTAATTTAATTTCATACACTGCAAATCTGCAATAGTAAGCTGACAACCAAATCACATGTCCTGTGATTCCTACCAAATATGTGCCTAACAACTTACAGGTTGCAAGAAAATTACTGATTTTTGACATAGATAGGTTACGAATGTTTGGTGCTTTAATTTGGATTGATTAGGTTGCAGGAAGGTTATTGATTTTTTAAATTGATGAATAACGAATGTTTGGAGCTTGATTGTACTGTACAGCTTAGCTCAGCTCAAGTTTAAACAGCTTTCAGATACATTGGTGTAATAGAAGTAGGTCACTTAAGGATCATGTATAAACATTTCTTTGAAATTATACAGGTAAGGGTATGTAAATCATCCATACTCGTTGGCCCTATGGCCTCTATCCCATCTTAAATTGGTTTATGGTCAAATACACAATAACAGACATGTCACAACTTAAACTTCTTCAATTGTATGTATTGACATTCTACAGAGGCTGAACACAAAAAATTGAATTTAAAAATGCACCGTAACAACGAACCTTGGAGCGAAAAAAATATTAGGAAGTAAGAAGCTTACATCAACGAGCTCCATAAATCTCTGAGGTAGAACAACCTCTTAATTTGTAAGCCTTCTATCCTTGAAGAAAAGGACATCCAAAAAAAGCTTAGCACAGCCCAGCTTCTTTATAAGCATTGAAGCAAGATGAATTCAATCCATAGAACCTTTCCTGAGCAACATATTTTTGAAGTCAAAGACTTGTAGCCTTGCCTCCTGAAATATGAAGAGCGTTTAAATTTGCAGCTTCAGAGACACATTGGTGCACCATTAACATGATCACCTGAATTAAATTCAAATGTCAAAGTTAATCTTCTACTACCCCATATATAACTAATCTCAGTCAAATATACAATCATATAGACCAAACAGACAATTTTATTACATGCCACATAATGCTATTAAGACATCATCAATAGAACAAGTGTAAAAAATTTTACCCAAAAGAGATATTTTGCAGCAAAGCTTGTTTGACATAACCTTTAGCCATATTTGAAGAAGAACTGAAGATCCAAAGAGTTCTTTTGCTCATTCTGTGGGTGAAAAAGACGAATTAGATTACATCAAACCACTTGGGCAGCGACCTCAGCTTGCACAAAATCAAATATTCAAAAAAGAAAACATATTGTACAAAATAGCAATCAGACAACTAATAAATATTTCCATCATTTAAACTTGATTCACAGTGTGTGTAAGACAATAAAGATACAAATGTTAATAACAAGAGTACCTTGGACAAACCTGTCTTTAATCATCCCTAAATTTCACTAAACAGTCATAGATTTGACCTTTTGTTCTTTCCAGATGTGAAGTTCAATGATCCTCATAACTTGGAGCTCTATAATCTACCCTACAAACTATAATTGATTGATTGCGCTCAGCATTTACTAATAAAACAAAGATTTAGGTTATTTGAAAGGACTAAAAGAAATTAAAATGTGAAGAAGGAATGCTGCAACCTTTTAGTCAGCAATTTAAGATCATGCAACATTTTCTTATGGGCATTATCCTCTAGATGAAGACTAATGGATAAAAAAATATAGCAACTATTGAGACGTACCAGTGCTACCATACATCTGACTAGAGCCTGGAGGAAGCATTTGAAGGAGCACCATACTAGCAGATGAGCTACTCTGCTGCATAATGGGCATAGACTACTTCAGCTACTTTGGGATTCATAAAAGATTTCTGATTCTTTGGGGAGAATAATGTTATATCATGCCCTAACACCATCAGATACATATTTGCAGGGGGGATAAATCTTTTGTTTTTATCTTGATCAAAAGAAACTTTATTCAGCAGATTCCTACACTGAACATTGACTGTAACTGCCCTAACCTTCTGCTTTGTCATAGTCTCACAGGAACAAGGTTCCCAAAAAGCAGGCTTCTCACAAACCATTTATGATTTATGTATAAATGGTAAAAGCTAAGCTTCCAAGAAGTTTAAGCTGAAATTCAATTATAAGATAAGTAAATAAAATCTCTATAGTTGATCAATTTTCCTCACCAGAACACTTCCTATCTTATAACAGAAATGAGAATTGAAGTAAGATATACATTAAAAATTGGAATGCTCTAAACTGAGACAACAAAATCTGAAATTTGACCTTGCGAAGAGATTCGGAATCATAAAACAAATTTAAGGAAAGGATTGCAGGGCAACAACCCTTTGCTACAATTGATAGTAGAAAAGGGCAGTTTTATGGCTCCAAAAATGTTCACATCTCAAGTACAACAAATAAATATGTACTGGTACTGCTCTAAACCACCACAAGCTGGTACTTCAAAACCCCTTTGAAGCCTAAATGGGATTAACAAGACGCTAATAGCAATGAAGTAAGTAAACAACCCACAATCCTATACAAATGAGTTTTCACGAGTAACATTGACGAATAACAGAACACAAAAAGACAAATCAAGCATATACTCCAAGTATTCAAAATAACAAGACATTTAGCTTTCAAGGCCAAACCTTTTCAGTTTTGACAACTACATTCAATCAGTATATCATCATATAAACAACAAAAAGACGTACTATTATAAAGACCTTTGTAAAGAAATGGCAATGATATAAATTATACACACTTGGACAAAGTAATCAACACAGTTTTAACTACGACAGCTCAAGTCAAATGTAATCCATGATTTGGAACAATGATCATATAGTTTAACCTACATTGTCCCTAGAAAAAATACTTACTCATAAACCTCTATCAAGTTGTCAACAGTTCAACACTACCCCCCCCCCCTCTCTCTCCTTATTGTACTTATTCCACTCCCAATAAATGAAAGAAGAGGATCTTACATGGAAGATAGAACCTTTGGTGGTACTAACTACTAAGGCTTTGACATTGTTGTTGTATTCCACAATCAATTCCCAACTTAAGACAAATTGAGCAACTTAGAGCAACTAATGTGTCTCATGGTCCAAAAGTAGAATTTCCCAACTTCTTACAAATTTCGCCAAACCTAACAATTTCATAGTTTTCCACTCTTTGACAAGTACAAACTCTTACTAATTTATCATATATTATCATACAATGTATGCCAATTAAATAGACGGCGCAATGTGGATGTCAACTAGTATATTTGAATAAAGTAGAGTGATATCAAACACCAAAAGCAAATCCCGTTATATTAGTCACCTTTTACGACTCTCTCTATACCAATAATAAATTAAGCGCGCAATACAACTTTTTAAAAAGCAAAATCATACAAACATACAATTGCCAATTTTCACATATAATACCTCAACTTTTGGGACTTGCCCCTCGTGTTCACCAAAAAAAAAACATATAATACCTCAAAAAGCCCTAATTTTTTATAAATTTTGACATATACAATTTTCACAAATAAAACTTGAGAAAATCACAAACATATTGGATGAATTTCAGCCAGTAACCAACATCAATTCCTTAAATCAAAACGAAAACGCAGCTTATATGTTATACATGAATTAATTCGACTTATCAACAAATAATTGAAAAACCTAGGCGTAAAATTAGGAGAAAGAAAGAGGAAGAAGATTACATGATGGAGATCGCCGGAAAATTAGGGTTTCGCGGTGGTTAGACTTGTCGTGATATTTGGTCGGCGATTTGCAAAAGTCAGACAAACCAGGAAATAAAAAATTACTCCGTACTGTAAAAACTGTATAAATAGTGTCAAAAATCAACACACATAAAAAAAAAACGTACATAAGTACATTAGCTGCCGCCAGAAACGGAAATGCCTTTTTGCTATTTGACTTAAAACCCACCACGAACTAATTGCATACTAAATTGGCATATAGCTTTACATTTTTGGTTGTCAAAACACGTAGTTTTTTTTTTTTTTTTTTTTGTATGAGTTGTAGCACAGATGGCCAAATTCTAAGGCCATTGAGTTAGGATAGAAATTAGAGGTCCACATGAAGTGTATAAACATGATTATGAAAAATATAGAAACTAATAATAATAATGGCAAGTACTTTAGTTAAGCACTTTGCAATAATCTTCCTTCCTGGCACAATGGCATTCTGGCACTTTGCAAACTCTCTTTAATTTAGCTTTGTAGATAGTGTGTATGCTATTGTTATTGTGTACGTTATTTACGTGTTTGTTTCTCCATAACATTATAATAAAAATATGCTATCATTGGTGTTTACTTTGGCACCCAAACTCGTCTTGTTTACTAAGTGGGGATTGGGGGATCATTAACCTACCAACCCTCATTCTGTGGGCCACTTTTGTGGAGATTTCTCATACATCCTCCTAAAGTTCTAAGTGGATTAATTGGTCCATGTATAGTAAATGCAAGATTTAATAATACTCCATCTGTTCCATAATGTTTTTCAGTTTTCAGGAACTTAGTTCTTAGTTTCACGTATAGTAATGTGTTTGTGTCGGGTTGTGCAATGGGCCGCCTTTATTTGGGAGAAACATATTGAGACATGGCATATCCTGACCTGGCTGGCATGACAAATTAAAGCACGCTAAAATTAATGAAATTCTGCTTAGGCACGCAAACCGACACAATGACACGTGGGCCCACCTTTAGAAAATTTCGACCCGACATGACAAGAAACTCATGGGCTGATCCATGGGATGCTTTTACTAAACCCAAAGCATGTAGGCTCGGCACAAGGCACGACCTGACACGGCCCAAAGCCATCTTTAGCTAGGGCCTTGCCTAACCAACTAATGCTCCATTCACCAAAGAAGAACCAGGTTCAACTCAATGCCATAGTTGGCCTGCATAATTTTATTTTTTTTACCAATCGAAAGGCCACAACCTATAAAAAAAATTAAAAAATAAAACTAATTTTGATAACAATTATTCAAATAAATGGTTTCTCCAAACCTATAAAATGCATAATTAGTTAATAATTTAATATGTATAAACTTTTGGTCTTTCGTATAATGTATTTATATTAGACAAAATAATACTCCGTATTTCATATAAATTATAAATATATATAAAAAAAACAAAAATAAATAAAAAAAAAGGAAGGATGAGGTCGATCGATGGGAATTAGAAATTAAAAGGATCGGAGACACTTTATTACCTTTTATCATATCATGAATGTAAATTACACATTATGGGGCTGTGCCCCTTGGCTTAAAAACAATGAATGAAATTTCATGTTGTTTTCTTCTTTGGAATGTAATGGGGACCTTATAATTTGGGTACGTATGGGGCGGTCCAACGTCTCCAATTCGACTGACATATGTTTTGTTTTTGCAACAATATAAATATAAAGTAGAAGATGATAAAAAGAATAATTCAAAATTTTATTTATGAAGAAAGATGAAATAATGATTCAATATTCCACTAACACCAAACATACAGTATCTCATCTTCAATTCTTGTTACTTTTGTAGGAAAGCCAGGTCATTTCTCCACAAACTACCCTAGCTTCAAGGGGTTTGTATAGTAGGACCATTTTTCTTGGCATGCTTTCATGGGTTTTGACTTAAACCGTTTTGTTCTCAATTACTTCTTAAGTCTAATTCTAACATAAGGGAGTGCATCACCCTGCATTCCACTCTTGTTATCTTGTAACGTTAATGTTGCGGTCAAGTTGAGGCAGGAAGGCTTCGTTCGTTGCTCAATTTAATGCACTTTTTACATCTGTGGAGTCGGATGTGTTCTATTTACATACCTGATTTTTACTGATCTGATCGTATCTAATCTTATCTGAACTTATTAGCTCTTATTAGAACTTATCTGAACTTATCTTATACGAACTTTTTAACCCTGAAATAAGTAGAATTAAAGTGAACAGAACAAGGCCCAAGACTATCATACCCCCACACTCGTATCAGTTATTACTTTTTTCAAGTCTATGTTCTAAAATGTTCTTTCTACTCATAGTAAATTTAGGATGAAAAATCACTATTGCGATAATTAATAAAGAATTAAGAACAAAAAATGTATACTTCCATAAGAAAGGGAAATTGAAATAAGCCATTAACTTACTATGTGTATTATGATAAGTTGCTTTTGGATTGATATAACAAAATTTGCAAATTAAGGCATAAGAGCATGCTAAAGTTATTAATCACGTTTTTAGCTTAATTTGTGTATATACTCAATTATTTTTCTACTCCCGTACTAACCAAAGGAATTTTTTAACGTCATCAATAAATTGTTACTATCAGTAGCAAATTGGATTCTCATAATTAAGCATCATTAATAATATTTTATATCATTGATAATATAATAATGGATTAATGTAGATCTTAATTATGTAATAATTGCTCCTTAACATTCATCAGCCTCTTATCATGCTTAGGTAAGATAAATAGTAGTTTTGTATGAATTAAGCTTGTTGGTGAATAATTGTACGTACTAGCTCATTAGCAACTATAGTTGTGTGGTCATGATGATGCAACCAATTGCGAAAGTTGGTAGTTATAAAATTCCATAAAAGAGGAGAAAATAAAGATTTAACTTAAAATTTATACTTTGTTTTCATCATTAGTTTGAAAAAATTAGTGAGACGTATCTTATTATATGTGATATGATGTGTACTTGCTACATTGAGTGGATCCGAATTGATACACTATCTTTGTCAAAAAAAAATTGGTTACTTACAGTTTTAATTTCATATGTTGCACATCTTATCTTGATGTGGACTTAGCTAGGTGAGTGTACGTAGAATGTAATTCTACCTTTATATAGTTAGTATATGAACCATGTCCACAATTATATGTCGCGCTATGCATCCTCTCACGATCAAGTGCAAAAGAAGAGTATTTTATGTCATGGTGTATGTTGGGTGTTATGTAACGTTCGATTAATATTAGATTATCATCATCTACTATGTAATAAGCCTATGACTGCTATGAGACACCTCTAACTGATTAATCGTTTATATGCAACACAAACAAACTTTTATGTTTTCAGGTGTTTACCTATGCAATAATATTAACAAACTGAACATCTTGAGATAGAGAAATTCATTTTTATCGAAAAAGTATGTCTTCAAGTTGGTTAACAGACATCTACAGTTCTACACTAAACAATAAAATAAAGTATTGATCTTCTTTAATATTATTGTTCGACCTTCTCACACGCTATGACTATAAGAGTGTGTATTGATAATATTATTGCCCTGTGTTATATTGTGTAAGCTATTAGCATGAACATGAGTCTCATCAACTTACCGTCCGTGATTAACAATTGCCAAAAGCTAACAAATCTACCTGATAATTAATTTGGTGCCATAGAATATATTTTTGATGTACTACGTGACAGTTTACTATGATTATACACCCCCCACTTTGTCGGAAACAAATACACTTACTCTTATACAACAAATATATACCCGAAATAATTCCGTGATTCGCCAAAAGGTAACGCATATAATATGGGGTAGGCCTTGAAATGAAAACTGACCAACGTTAATTATGTGTGACAAAATTAATTAAATTAATTAAATCAATTGAAGTTACAGCTTTAATTCCTATAATTGTCTTGTTATACTATATAGTACTTCATCATGCTATGATTATGTCACTAAGTACAAAACTATAGGTGATTAATTAAGTTGAAAAAAGATGACTTTGGTTGCTTAAAGCGCAATTTATGAACATATAGTATTATAGATTTATAGTGTATATTTTTTTTTATGACGAAAAAGTATGCTAAAGTCCTTATCCTTTATAATTGAGTGGTATAATTATTAGTAGTAGAATAATTCAATGTACACAATGCCTTTCCCAAACAAAACTAAGCTAGAGATATATGCAAAGTATTTTAAGAAGCCTTTATGTCACGAAATTCATCATTTCTGAGTTGTAAAAAAAATCAAATGCATAAATTGTATGAATAAATTTCAAATACTTTGAAGGAAAATGAGTAAGAAATATTCTCTCCGTATTTGAATAAATGAAACTTTTTTATTTTCCGTCGTGTTTAAATAACTAAAACATTTCTTTTTTTTAGTAACTTCCATCTATTTTTAAATAATATTTTAATAGTTTTTTTTAATAATATTCTATTAATTAATGGTTTTCACAAAACCCCTTACTCTCTTTTCTTTCCTCAAACTTATACTCTCCTTTTAATAAATTCAACTAAATTTCCGAAAACACTGTAAAAGTCAAAATATTTCATCTATTTAAACACAGAGAGAATACTCGGTACATACAATAATGTTAGATTTCTCACAAGCTATACCCAAATTGAATCTTTATGACTAATTTAGAACTCTTGCAATTTTGATACACGTGTGTTACACAATTATTTAACCGTTGATAATAAAGTTCCAGGCTATAAGTACATATGAGTATGAAATAAAACTTCACATCAATGTCCTTGTTAGTAGAGCGCAAATGCATTTGAAAGACAATATTCTACATACATCACAATTCACTAAGAATATACGATAGTACTAATGCTTCAATTGAAAACCTTCAACTTTATCTAGAATTTAATTTTCATGGTACCACTACTTCAAAAATAAAAATCTTGCTTATCATGTGGTCAGCCCACAAATAACAAAACCTTGCATATACATCATCAATAGATGACACATGTAACACAAAGCCTCTATGCTCACAAATTAATCCGTTTTAAATTACATGTAACATTTGACTTCTCAAAATTAAATTTTATTTAAAAAATTTGACCTTATTTGTTAATATAATGCAATGTCAACCATTACTCAGTAACACTAACAAATGACATGCGTTAAACTAGTTTTAAAATGATTTATAAATATACATCATATCATATCAGATGTTACACTTAATTTGAGACAGATTATATGGAGTAATTACGTATCTATGGTTATGGAGCAACCACAAAAAATAAAGTAAGCACAAGAAAAGAAGGAATGGATCAACCAATAAAAATGCTGGAATTTATGTAATGGAGCATGCATAGAAGTAAGTCCTAGTATATACTCTCTAGAGTTAACTAGGTAGTGCCACTCAATTAAAATAAATATAAATTGGTAAAATCCATTGATAGATTGATAATGATAGATCGTATCAAAGTTGGGGTATGTTTTGTTAGTGGCGAACTTAGGTAGTCGGAAAGCTACAATTATTATTCACTCAAATAAAGTTTTTAGCATATTAAAGTGGCATGACAGACAGTCTAAGGGTTAATTATGAAGATAAATTAGTTTAATTAGACAAGCACCAATTAATATGATTTGCTACTGTATCTATTTATTAATGCGATGTTGATTTGTTATTTATTTCTTTTTCATCTTTTTTTTCCACTTTTTTTGTTTTATTTCTTTGTGTATGTATTAATTGTTTTTAAACAATAGTTAATATATATGTAGCCTTTTGCATCACTATTACAATAATGTGTCGTGTAAACACACAAATTCTCCCCCCACATCACACCCTTTAATAAATAAATAAGGAGTAACTAAAAAGAACAAAAACACTTTTCTTTTTTATTATTTTTTTATTTAATAGGCAATTTGCCTATACATGCATCCTAGTAGTCTCCCCAATATTGAGTTCTATTGTATGTCAAAATATATACTATTATACTTGTATTCTTAATCAATCAACAAAAATAAATTAGTCAATTTCCTCGTTATAACTCCTTCTATAAGAAAACATACATGAGTAAGTTATAAGTACGTCTCAATATTAAGGCAACATAATAAAATGTGTGAATGGTGTAGAGCCCAATATCAAAGGAAAAATTACAATCCATTTTCACATGAGAGGTGGGCTATTATTATGTGCCAATAGACATTTATGGAAAAATAATTGTCAATTTGGAGATAAGATAGGGTTACAAGGATAATTATAATGTTAAACTCATTATTGATACAGAACCAGCTATCAAACGGGTCTTGATTATACATACTCCCTTTGTGTTTTAATAATTGCTACACTTATCAAATGTGGCCGTGTTTTAATATTGTCTATTATTGTATAAAGTTTGATCTATAAACCATGCATCCCATCTAAAGTAAGACTAGGTTTCAAATCAATCGCCATTTAATAAGTTCCTCAAAATGATAGAGATCCTCTCATCAAATTCATGCATGTATACACATTAGCACTTAAATGAAAAATAATTTCAAATCAATATTTAATTTGTATAATTGTATTACTTTATATACAACACTAAACATATAATTTGTTTATAAAATGACAACAAATATTATTATCATTATTATTCATCATGGTAGGTACATAATTTATGTACAAAGGCTTTCCTTTGCACAGGAAGACAACGCCAAAGGGGCGCCTCATCAACTTTTTGAACAATAATTTACAGGCACAATTAATTAAAAAAAATAACAAATAAAAAGTGCACTATTTTCAGTTTTTTTCACTATGATGTACTCGTATCACTTTGGTATGGTATGATATTCTCACATATGGTTGGCTAAAAACAACCACCCGAGAAATGAAAATTAATTAACCTAATTTGGAAACATGCTACTTAATTTTGTAGCATCATATGTCATACATGCATGTACGTACATACGTGTTTTCCCGGTGGTCATCTTGTACGTGTGCGTAGCTCGACTGTTGTTTGATTGATTACTCCCGATAATGACCCAAACCATCGCGCTAATTAATTATCATTATTATTGATTGTTACCCATTTCTAACACATCCATTGTGTTCATAATTTCAATGTCATTGAAACAATCAAGCCCGAAATCTTGGATACCAAAATCTTGACAATCGAATAGCCACGAACAGTTATCTTCCCATGTAGGCAAGGTAATGGTATTAGCAACATTATTGCTTGACAAACAAGTTTGATCACTATTGTACGAGTAAGGCAACTCCAACGGTGTAACATCGTTGTCATCCCATAAGTAATTCATTAGCGCGTTATCAATGCTAATGCCTTCGATTAAGCTCGAAGTGTTAGGCTGATCATTATTAACACTCGAGCTATTCTCTGTCGGAGGGCTATTATTGTTAGTAATGTCCTCCGACATTGAATTAATGACCGACATGCTATTAGCTGGATCGCTATTGGCTGTCTCTAATGATGATGACTGGGTTTGATTTAAGGACTCAGCCGTGCTTATATCAGAATTATTATTGTTGTTAGAAGATGAAGATGATTGGTTTGGAATAATTTGATTATTTGGGGATTGATCTTTGTTTAAAGGTTCATGGGTAACGGGGTCAATTCCCATCTTAATAAGTTTCTTCTTAATATGGGTGTTCCAATGATTCTTGATCTCATTATCCGTTCTCCCCGGTAATCTTGCAGCAATTTTGGACCACCTGAAATATGATCAAAATTATCAGTAATTAGTTTCGTAATTAGCAAAAATGGTTACATAACTTTAATTTACGTCATTGTCATACATACTATATTTTCTACACGGGGCAAAAGGTTAAAATAAAGAAATAAAAAGGAATACAAAGAGAAAACTATATTCCAAAAAGCTCCGAATTAAAAACCGCCAAAAAATCTAAACAAAGGGATTTGAAAGACAAGCTTTTTTAAAGCATTGTTATTATTTATAGACACCAATCACATAATTAATTAATATCATTGTAACTTTTGTAAGGCCATTATGTCATAATTTACAATAAATTTAATCGACAAGAAACTATGTGCTACTCGTAGCTAGTTAATTGTCATGGTCATGCAAAAGTTAGGTGATTTGGTTACTTAAAAGTTACTTCAATAAAGAATACTTATCTTGCATATTCCATATAATATCACCGTCACAATATAAGTTGACGGTGAAAAGTTACCTATGTGTGATTTTAACTTTCACGTTATTAATTTATTCCTAATTTAAATTACGGTATTAAGACAGTAATTTTACTTTGTACTCCGTACTAGCTACTAGTCAAGATTTTAATTTAGAGACAATTAACTTAAGCAAAACATATTTTTATAGTCAAATGAATAGCAACAAATTTTAGACTTTTGCAATTATTATTTGTAATAACTTCATAAACATTTCTAAAAAATGTCATTATTTTCAAACCATAAGATCTTTTCAAGGAACATAATTAATATGGTGTTTTCATGAGTACTCGATTACAATCTTTCACGATTTCACTTTAACCATGATTCTTTTTATTATTGTATTATCTTAAGAAAAGGTAGACTTAATTAATTAGTATCATTACAATTTTGTACATTTACAATTTTGTATAGTTATTCATTCAATTAAATTACAAGGCACACATTGTTTAAATTTATGTTACAAATAAAAAACGAGACTTGTGCATGAATACCGACGTAAAAATAATGTTACCTATTTCCAAGTCGAGCATGAAGATCAATAACCAATTGTTCTTCAGCATCACTAAGAAGGCCACGTTTCAAGTCAGGCCGGAGATAGTTAGTCCACCGGAGACGGCAGCTTTTACCGCAACGCCGAAGACCGGCGAGCTTAGGGACAGCCCTCCAACAACATTGCCCATTAGTGAGGATAAAGTTGATAAGCTTTTTATCTTCCTCAGCGGTCCAAGGGCCTTTTTTAACACCTAGTTTGTCACAACAAGGTTGTCGTCCCATAACGCGTATAATAAAGCACCACCACTACCACCACCGCGACTACGACTATGACTATATGCTAGAGAGTAGAGAATGAAATAATAAAATGAAAGTGTTATGTTGTAAGCTCTTTCTCCTTGCTAGAGTTGGAATAATAATAAAAACTTGTAAAAGAGCAAATGAGTAATGAAATGAGGATCACACCAACCTATATATAAAAAAAATAAAAGGATGACTTTGTTAATTTCCTCTTGTAATAAAAAGTGGTACCAAAATATTTATAAAATTTTATGAGACAAAAGATAAGACCCCACCGAGGTTTACTTGAAAGGTGCTTGGGAACAACAATCTAACTTCTTCTGGTGCTTCAACTTCTTGGTCCCACACCAATAGTGCGAATTGGGGTGACCCAACTATAGACCTACAACATGTTTTTGCATAAAGTTTTTTTTTTTAATTAATATTTTTTAAAAATAATATTATGTTAATTAACAATTACTAAAGTCTTTATTTTCGTTTAAGTGAATGTTCTGATTTATTGTGATGAACTGAAGTGATTGGAGTTGAACTGAACAAAACTGAACTGAATTGAATAGAGCTTAAATGAATTATCTATGAGAGAAGAAAATTAAGAAGTGAACTGAAATAAACTGATTGAAGTTGAACTGAAATTAAGTTGAAAATAATAGACCCTAAATTAGAGCTATTATTTTTAATTTGGTAAATACTTCACTATAGCTGAAAAGTGTGTATGAAATTGATAAAGTACTTAGGCCCTGTTCTTTTGAGCTTCTGGGCAGAGCAGAGCAGATTTCAGCAGAGCAAAGCAAAACAGAGCAGATTTCAGCAGAGCAGAGCAGATTTCAGCCGAGCCGAGCAGAGCAAAGCAGATTTTATTATTATTATTATTATTATTATTATTATTATTATTATTATTATTATTATTATTACTACTACTACTACTACTACTACTACTACTACTACTACTATTACTACTACTACTACTACTACTATTATTATTATTATTAAATATTAATTATTATTATTATTAAATATTAATTATTATTGTTATTATTATTATTATTTTTATTAATAATTATTAATAATTTATTATTATTATTAAATATAATAATTATTTTTTATTTTTTTTATTTTTTTTTATTAAATATCAATAATTAATTATTGTTGTTATTATTATCAAGTATTAATTATTATTATAATTAAATATTATTTATTTATTATTATTAAATATTATTTATTTATTATTATTATTATAAAATATTAATTATTATTATTATTAAATATTAAACATTATTTATTTATTATTATTAAATATTAATTATTATTATAATAATTTAATATTAAGTATTAATTTTAAGTAGAGCAGAGCAGGGCAGAGCAGAGCAGAGCAGAGCAGATTGAAGCAGAGTAGAGTAGATTTCAGCAAAGCAGAGCAGAGCAAAGCAGATTTCAGCAGAGCAGAGCAGAGCAAAGCAGCTCTAGAGAACGGGGCCTTAAATAGTTATAAGTTTAACTTTGTGTCAAAGCTCAATTATAAAAAAGTATATTTGAAATCAAATTTAATTAAGGAGTAGCTTCATAACACAATAAATAATAACTGACCAAACTTATACTTCTTAGGAATGTAAAACATTAAATCGATTATTAACGAGGTCCTTTTTTCTAATTTGGTATAGACTAATCAAAGTAATACGTACTATTAATTATTTTAATCAATATATTACAATATTTATCAATTATTTGGTTAATTTAATCACTATATTACAATATTGTGGAAGTATCATTTTAGCATTAAAAAAAATTAGCATAAAATATCTCTAAAAAATCTTGTAAAAAAAATGTAAAAATAATAATTCTTCTCCCTGAATATAACCATGTACAATCGCATTCCCTCCGAATTTGAGCTTACTCAATCATAGCATCACCCATTTCGTCATCCCTACGTTTTCATTGGCTTTTGTTAAAGAATAGAATGTTAAAAAGCGTGTCTTATAAAAAATAAAAAGAAAAAAAAAATGTAAAAAAGAATGGTGCAACTTAACCATGGTTAGCGCGTAGACTAGAGACTATGGTCAGCATAATCTTTGGAAGATAATCAACTATCACTTTCATGATAGCACCTTATCTTCTTCGAGTCTGTTTGGCTAATTGATTGCTCCAAGACCATAGTTCTCTTAAGCAAGTTATTACTTTTTTTAAAAAAAAAATAAAATAAAAAATAATATGATGTATGACGAAAACTATAATCGAGTATTAAACATTTGAAACATTGTCGATCTAGAGTGAAATCCTATTGAGGTTATAACTTATGAGTTTATGTTCAATCACATGTGATGATTAGAGTCTCAGCGGGCATTGGTTTTATACTCTATCATATCACCTCTTTACATGTAAAGCTCTTGATCAATGTTAACTAGGGAATCGGATCTACTCAACAAAAAGTTTTAGATAAAGACTAGATAGAGCTCTAAAATTGATTTAATATTATATCAATGTGCATTGTAGATCATAATTTAGTTTATGCTTCTGATCCGATTTCTACATTGATCAATAATATGAATGTGATGACCTTGTAATTTTAAATGACTAGCTAGCTAACATGAATAAGAAATGTTCAAGAGGGTAGGGAATAACTCAAGCGGTTAGAGCTCACACAAGAAAAAATGAACAAGAAATATTGTCGACTCAATCTCAAGCAAATTCATGGTCATCACACTTTCAAATGTGGTAAATATGGCTACATCGTTTGGTACATGTACCTAAATTTATAATTAGGTGAAAATGAAGAAACACATGTTCTCCCCAAGTCTCTGTAATTAGATTTGAATATTTATTCTGTTTATTTTTAATTCATGAGTTAAATAATTGTAAAATGATTTACACATGGGAGCTTTCCAAATAAAGAGGGAATAAGAACAAAAATAAAAACATGAGCACAGTACATTACACATGTTCTCAACAATGCTCTATCGTTAACTCATTAATCCATTTATTTTCTTATTGGATCATTATCATTAGGTATAACTATAAGATATGTTTGACAAGTGAGACCTAATTAAGAACATCCCCATGTCAATGAAATCACATCTAGATCAAGAAATTAAATACCAACTAAATAATTAGTTCGTTAGAGACTGATTCATACCATTTAATTGTAATTAGAATTTAGACCATCCAGATGCATGTAGCAGCCACAAAATCAAATAATCCTTAAATTCTGAGCTATGGTCAATTTGTACGTACTAAATTATCAAAATATGTGACATTGTAATAAATAGGGATGGAAACTTTCAATATTAAGTCTTCGTTGAATCAATTATAAGGTTAACGATTTAACCCTCGTGAGACAAAAGAAGGAAGAGTCAAATATCATTTACGAAGGAAGCGAAAATGATATATAGAGTATACAAATTTTAGGGTTAAAATTTAGAATATTAAACATCAATTGATCACGCATTGAGAACACCGACTAATTAATTTAGTCATTAATCTTGAAATTAATACTATTCTAGAAATTATATTTTATGTTTAAAGTTAGCCGTAAAGTTGTATATTCGTAAATAGTGAATTAAAGAGAGCAACTCATTAGTTAGCCATTTTCTTTTTTGACGGCTATGCGTGCAATCTACAAAGTTTTTTTCCCGTGTATTTTTATGATTTCTTATGTATTATGCAATACAATAAGGTACATATATAATTAAAAAAAAAAACTTATATGTTTAATGAAATACTTCTTTAATATCCATATTCACCTTTTTTGTTAAAAAAAATGTTGAAATTTCACCAAAATATTACTATTGTATATATTATGATGAACTATGAATTGCAAGTTCTTATTTTATAATATCCTCTAAAAATTTTATCTATTAAAATTATTTATACAAATAGATTATTGATCAAAGCTCAACATCAATAGTCTCCATACTTGTGTTGAAACACCCCAACAAAAACACCATACTTGATGATAATATATTGATGTAGGCGTAATTTAGAGCCCTTTTAACTACAAACATAGAGCCTAATACTAACAACTTCAATTGCATCTTTTTTTAATAGCTAAGGTAGCATCATAATTTTATCCTCAATTTCATGATTTAATAAAATATTAAATCAAGAAAATGGCGTGTTAAATGGAATACACTTAAGGGTAGATGGCCACTATGAAGAAGTAAGGAGTATAAAGTTTAAGGATTGTTACAAAGCTTCCCCACACGGCCAGACGCAAAAGCGCGCATGCGTGTACATTGGCAAGTTTTAAATAGCCAATGAAATTGATTTTATAAGATTCACACTTTTATGCTTTGCCCACATATGCTTTGTTAGTGTTTGAACATTGGGAATTTGGCCCACACTAGCTCTAAATTCTTGACACTTGTTTTAATTTTATTTTTCTAGATTGTTCTAATGGTTAATCCGGATCCTTTTTTAAATCCGGATTCATATTTTAATTTTAGGTAACAAGGCGTTTAATTAGCGTGTGTACTGCTGTTTTACTTGACTGGTTTGATTGACTATTTTTATTGACTTTTAAGTTGACTACTTAAATAAATATAAATTGATTGATAAACTCACATGTAAGGACTTGTAAATCTATAACTATGTGTAATTATATTCATATAATTGAAGTGGTAAAAAAAACCCGTAAAAATTACTATATTTAAAATTTTAATTTTACAAGTTACTAGCTCTAAGGCTAGTATCTTTTTATTTTGGCTTATAGTCTTAAACGTCAACTTTTCAATTGATTTAAAAATCTAAGAAGTATGTACTAAATATTTTTGGTTAGTTGTTAGCTAGCATAACAAAGCCAAAACCCAATCAAAAATCCATTTGTCAAATTTTCCCACAACTTTTACATTTCTAGTTCTATAAGAACACATATGTAGAATTAAATGTGGTGATTGTGAATATGGCTTGAATATTCAATTTTATTCTTATTTTGTTTTGTGTTGATTTCAAGTTGTTAACAAAATATAGCTATAACTTTGCGGTATCAAGAATTCAAGACCAATTAATTTTAGTTTTGAACTTTTATATAATTAAGTCGTACATATAGTACTATATAGTACTACGCTAATTTCCAAAACATACATTAACTAACTTTAAACTAATAACTCAAAATTAGCAACAACAAAGAACAAGCTCTTGATTTTATTGGTATAATCATGAAGTTGTTAATATTTAATCAAACTGCATCTATGAAGATAAACATTACACCCAATTAGCCAAAACATTAGACAAAACCATAATCT